CGTAACTCGTTCCTCCGAGCTTGTTTCGGTAGGCGTCTGTCTAGGCAAGACCGAGTGCAAAAGGACGACCAAATCCTTTCCAGGGATGGGCTTTGCTCTAGTCAGGCCACAGCCCACCTCTTGAGAAAAACATTTGGCAGAATTCCAAGAGGCTTTGGTGATGAGATCCTTGGCCTTTAAATCCTCTTCTTCAGTTCGAGCTCACCCCCTTTTCTAGCTGTATCACACCACGGGCCCCCTACCGATCGTTGTCCTATAGCTCGCTGATCGCTGTCCTTTGCTTCGCTATAGATCGCTGATCACTGATCGCTGTCCTTAATGATATTTGTCATCTTGAAGTGTTTCACATTTGTATGTGGTATTGAACTGAAATAGTCATCTTGAAGATCATTTGGCGCAGTTCACAGCCCTGTCCTCCTTAAGACCTAAAGTCCTTTGGCTTATGAGTTACACGCCCCGAAGACGGGCAGATTTTTCGCGCAGGCTATTGCAAGGTCATTCAGGCATGCATGACGCCAAAGTAACACTCTTCAAATCCCGCCACCCCACCGGCCATGCGGAGCTCAAGGCCAAGATGAATAGAATCGTCAAGTCGTTCATATTTCGCATCAGTGAGAGCATTTCCAGTTCAAACAGACGCCAGCTGGCTCTCAATCAATGTTGTACAGGCTGTGCAAGTTAAAAACACGAATCACCTTTTTGTTGCATAATACAAAAGGCTGGACATGGGCGCAAGATATCACAGAAATGAAAACTGTAAGCTCAAAACAGCTAAAAGCTCGACAGCTCGGCTCAACTTTGGCCACACAGCCCACACAAATGTGGAGCATTCCCATTTAAAGCAAAGCAATAGTTACAAATCAGCTTTATTCAACATATTTGGGTGTTGCCCACATAGTGAGCATCCCCTTTCAGGTTTGGATGGGTCAATTATTGTGGGTCACCCGGTAAACATTGCACACGTCAGTGTTCTATCACGCATGAGTCACTTGGTAAATGCTGCACACGTCAGTGTTCTACCATTCCAAGGAGACGTGGAGGCAACAGGCGATCCCTCTACAGCGGTATGCACCGGCGGGGGCGGTCTGTTGATGTAAGATGCTGCACCATGCTAAACCGCCGCGCCTGTACGGTCTGTTGATGCAAGATGCTGCACCATGCTAAACCGCCGCGCCTGTACGGTCTGCCAGCTGGGTCTTGATGATGCAAACCATAATACCCGGATCAAATATGGATCGGTGGGTAAAACACATGTCTCCTTGGGGGACAATGAATATGGGGGCTCAAGGTTCAAGAAGCTCAAGAGCTTAAGGCGTTATCCTAGCCCCCGTAGATAGAACCCCATGACAGCTCCGCTGGATTAAAAGTGGCATGAAAAATGCAACAAGTGCGGCCGAAGCCGGCACCACTAGTCACGACGGCCGACCGCGCGATGGCGCATCGCAACAAGCTGATGGGCCTCGCTGTCCTCGCCGGGGGGTGCAACCGGTGGGGTGTGGGCCCGTCCTCTCGGTGCCCGGCAGGTCAGGTCGGTGTGCGGTGGTAGCCCGGGACAGGAGGTCAACTTTGGTGGGGTCCAGAGGTTATCCGGGGTCGCGGTCGAGCGCTCGGCACGGGGCTGGGGCTCCAGGGGGGGGGGGGGGCTCCAGGGGGGCTAGAGGGGAGGCTGGATGGGGGGGGGTCCAGGACAGGAATGACTGAGCAAATGTTCAGACTGTCGTCGAGACACATGCAACGGTTAGAAGAGATAGAAGATGAAAGAACCACAGATTCACCATATACGAGGGATGACAGCCTCAGGCGTGGAAACTTCAGAAAAGATTTACTTTGTGCAGCCCAAGACGCACTAATTACAGTCTTAACGCGAGCACCAGCTTCCATTGGGAAGCTAGAGGACGAGGCATCCACATTTTGGTGCGCCTGCTGACAGAGACGCCCTTTTCAGCCTTCAGCATACGGAGATCTTCCCCGCGCTGGCGTGGTGGGAGCTGAGAGGACGTGGGGACGCCCACCTTCATTCCAGCCCAGTGGGACTCCTATGATCCGCGCCACTGCCCAGACATACGGCAGGACTGCTGCAGAGGCACTTGCCATGAGGGGCCTCTCCGTACTTCCGGTGCCGAGCATGGTCGCACGTCGCCTGCCGCGGCCAACCTTTCACCAGTCACGAAAGCGAAGCGAGCAACGGCTTCGCGGCCAGCATCAGCGCTTACGTCGGAGAGGAGGCAGGCGGTGATCAGCGTGTTCGGGAGCGCGAGTGCTCGCGATAGGCCACGAGTGGGCTGGTGCCCCGACTCTGACCATTCCGGGAGGTCATACAGCCTCCAGGGATGGCGTCATCTGCCGGGCGTAACGCGCCCGTTCCGCTCTGATGTTAGAATGGCATGACGTCAGTGTTGGGCGAGGGTCTGGATACTTTTCCCTTGGCCCAGGGATTTTGAGGAGCGTAACCACAGGACGTTGCCAGTTGCCACAGAGCTCTGCCGCTCAGAGCACGGTCTCTGTCTGGGCGGGCGCCTCTGTTTTGGAGATTGTTGAGTCGTTTTCCGGGGTTTCAGTGTCAAAGTTGAATGAAATACAGATTGCTTGCACTTGTCTGGGGTGGATTTCCCACAAGTGCAGGGTAAGGTGACGCCCTCATCATAATGAAAGCTTAAAACTGACGAATATTGGTCTCTTCCAGCACTGGCTGGATTATGTGCAGACATATGTTTTCCACCATGGCACCGGCTAATCAAAACCTAGATTTCGGCTAAGTTTCAATGCCTCACGAGCTCGAAGGGAGTGGTTCGCATTTCTATGGGACTTTGAACTGAAATAGCCACCTTGAACACCATTCGGTGCATTTCACAGTCCTGCCCTTCCTAAGATCTGAACTCCGCTAGTTTTGGAACTACACGCCCGTAAAGACGGAGAGTTTTCCTCGCTGGAGAGTATTTCAAGGTCACCTTTGCATTCATGACGTCATAGCGTCATTCAAATTTTGCCATTCCATAAGCCATGCGGCGGTAAGGTCGAGAACAATATGGTGGTGGAATCGCTGATATTTGGCTTTGTGAGCACGGTATCCAGATAAACGGCCGTCAGTTGGCTCTCAACCAATGTTGTGGAAGGTACGATGGCATTATGAAACAATGGCGTATCGAGGATAATTTTTACTAAATAGAGGCATTGTGTTGTCCAGAGCAGCCTCCTCCACCTAAAAGTAAACCAATAGTTAAAAGTGAGATTGCTTCTTCAGATCGGATGCTTCCTTCAATATATTTAAAGTGAAACCTTCCCTTTAAGCATGTCTTCAGCCAGTGTTCGTCACGATGCTGCTGTCGGGTATATTGGTCTACATTCCTGCACGCTCTGCATTCAAACTCAAATATGCGGCAAACATGCCTGTTGGTTGTTTAATATCGCTTGCTGCACGAAGAGTCAACTCTCATCACAGGGTTCTGATTTAGGGCGATGTAATGGAAAAAGAAATCTTCATTTATTGGGACTGGCACGGCCATTCGGTCATTCAAAGAAGGCGTATGTACAGGAAGAAAAGTCATTGTCCCGACCTTCGCAGACCTCTGTACTTTTGCACAAAGCAGAAACGTTATCAACAGCGGTGTTACCTGCTTTGAGACCATTGCTCCTTTGGACTGTTGGTGAGAGCACAGTGCTTTGTCACCAATACTGTCGTGCAGTTGAAATGCAAGCTGGTTAGGTGACACACGCAACAAGCAGACGCGGCACTTTTCATAGCCATACGACGCGGAGGCCCAAAAAACCAGGAAGTTCTTACCTGCGAAAGCCGGCTTTTCGCAGATCTGTCATTGTCGTCCAGCTCGCCATCTACCTCGTGCTCGATTTCCGCTATCACCTCATGCAACCGGTCCTTGATATTCTGCTGGCTGATTTCGCGTGCGTGCACCGCCATTCAGGGCACCTGCGATTCCGGAGATTACAGCGCTTCTGGGCTCCAGTGACTGGTCGAGGCGGCCGGCCCCTAGGGATGCGCTCGCCGCCTTCTGAGTTTCGCTCGTCTGAGCCTCTTCCGACTCGTCCAGGGTTTACGGTACGTCCGGCACCTACCTGGGCCCGCTACTGTCGTTACCGTTAGCAGGAGGAGCCTTCAGCTGCCGCTGGAAATGTTACCGAACGTTAGTGAGGCGACGTGCAGAATATCGAGCGGAGCAACTGGACCCGCTATCGGGGACTTGGGTGACAGGGGGCTCAGTACATGTTATTTTCACTTGCAGATGCAGTAAACTAGGCATTTGGGTTGGCGTACATCGGATTATTGCTAACAGCCGAAGAGGATAGGGGAATTAATTATTGACATGGATCAAAAAGTGATGGACCGTAAACGTTTTAGTGACGAAAGTTTATAGTTAGCTTCATATCAGCCTCGTGACACTTACTAAACATCGATATACAAATTGCCCTTCAGTTCATCCAAGAATCTTGGAAGCTGTCTTACGCGGTGCTGAAACACAATTAAGTTGATATAGTGTCATACAAATTACCATACCGAGAGCGGATAGCGCATGGACCAGGCTGCAAACGTATGTACATATGTACAGTGGTGTCTTCATGCGACTAGAGGTTAGACAAGCGAACGAACACCGGCATCGTCATATTAGACCCTGTTGATCCAAAGTCATTGCGGGATATGTCGTTGGGGTTTTTATCTGTCTCCCGGAGAACCGAGGTCACCTCCACTGTTAAAGCCATGATTTCCGCCCCCCCAACAGCACAGCAAAGGGGCTGCGACGGATCCAGCCCGCGCCCTTCCGCAGACACCACCGTGATGAAAAGCGCCCCAGCCGCGTGCATCTCCCGACAGAATTCCGGGCGGACGGCCGCCGGCGCCAGGTGTTGATGTCTGCTCTGCCGCGCCGATGATCAAGCCCCGCAGCAGCTGCGCGTGGTAGCCAGCTGGCGCTCGGCCGATGTTCATCCAGCGGCTGTTCTAGCGCAGGCCGTGCCGAGCGAAGCCGGCGCTGGCTCATCATCCCCACCTGGCGGTGGCAGTCCGAACTTGAAGTGTCGAAGCCGCCGCCAGTCGGGTAGACTACGGCTTCGGTAGTGCCGTCGGCGTCCAGCAGCGTGGCTTTGAGGATTCGCAGAATCGGCTCGGCTTTGGTCGTTACCTGGGGAAGTATTTATTAGACAGTACTAAACAGTGAAAAATATCAGGGAATGCATTAGACGGTGGGAAATATCAGAGCGTGCATTAGACGGTGCGAAATATCTATAAATATGTAACGTTGTACATCACAGGGCAGCAACTTGTTTGTCCCGATAGCTCAGCTGGTTATAGCGTATGCCTTCCGTCTCAACACATGACGATGTGGGTTCGAGTCAGTTTAGGCGTTTGCCATTGGCCCCTGACTGTCGTGGCCTGTGGCCGGTGGCGGCGGCCGAGCTCGAGGTCACGTGATGAGGTCATGTGATCTCAGAGGCCAAGACGGACCGTGGCGAGCATTGCCGCACGTTGAACTTAGCCACAATGAAAAAAACGGGAAGGATTTTGCAGTCATGTTGGTCGCCGCTCATTTCCAGTTGCCACTACATGTGTATTGAAATGTTTGCAGAAAATGGCTTGAAATAAGATAATAAAACTTAACGAATAGAACAAAACCGTGAGAAAAATAATTTGACGATCGCAAGCAGAGATTTTTGCCATTTCTTGGCGAAGAGCGGAACGTTTCTAACTGAACGTGGGTCGCTGATGTCACACCCAATCTATGGGTAATACAAAATATAGCAGGTTGTTTTGAGACGGTTAAAGAGCATTTGATGATGGAGGCCTATGATCATACCGAACTCAGTTGCTGTTCTCCACTTTATAAAGCCCTCCATCGCTTCATACACAATCGTTCAGCTTTTGCTCATGGATCTCCGCCATGAGACAGCGCATGTCGTCTCAGCGTCTCGTCTCGTCTCGTCTCGTCTCGTCTCTCGTCTCGTCTCGTCCCGTCCGTCCCGGCCTGTTCCGCCCCGATCCGTCTCGTTCCGTCCCGTCCCGTCCCGTCCATGCCGAGCATGGTAAGCGGTCGCCTGGTTAGCGAAACCCTCAGGTCCTATAAGCTTAGAACATCTCCGGAACGTTCGACGGCACTGCTGCCCTACACGCCATCTTTCGGCTATTTTGCCAAGCTATCGATGCCGTGCGGAACATTACATTGGGCGCAAATGGGACTACGCTCCTTCAATTATCGAATGAGCCCTGTGGCATTGCGTAATGGAAATGGGGCAGCCGCATTTCGCCGCTCAGCTTCTTCGAAGCTCCTTTGTTGTGGGGAAGTTAACACAGTCTCTGGAGCACTGTGGCATCATGAGATGAGTTGTTTTTTGTTTTTGTTTGTTTTTTTTCTTTTTTGCTTCTGCGTGAAGGGGCGGCCTAGCCCACAAGGGAGTATCCTGGAGGAGCAAGGACGGCTGAAAAGCGGTCTGAGGTGGACAGCTCGTATGAAGTGTTCAGTGCTCGAAGAAGCGGGCAGTAGTAATACAGAACAGCGGACGTGCAGGCCAGTGCATCCTTTCTTGTATGCTTTTCCTGCTTGATCCTGCCTTCTCAGGATACTCCGCTTGTCCGGGGCAGGCTGCACGCGCCAGCCACGAGTGGGCCGAAGGGCCCTCTGGGACCTCGTCCAAGTGCCAGGCGCGCACTCCTCAGAGGACTTAAGAGGACTCCCTGCGCGGGCTTAAGTCTGGCGGCTCCCAGGCGCATGTAGTCCTACCCTATCGTCATTCATTATCCTTCATCCCATAGTCCTGAAATTATCCTCCCTGGTCGAAAGGGCTCCAATCCACGTAACTCGAATGACCAAATAGGGCAGTGGACGTGGGATACATGAAGCTGAGATAAGTGGAGTGAATAATGCCCACATAATCATGGCAGAGCAGGAGCAGAACAGGCGCTTGCTGCTTAGAATAGAAGAACTAGCACGCACACGCGTTGTTCCAGCAGCGTACAGGACACCACCAGAAACAAAACAACACGACTCATCTCTCACACCTCAGTTTATTCACTGTGTAGATAAATACACAGCATGTGGGATCCCACCGCTCCCACATCTTTCATTACGATGAATAGCCCCTTTCTTTGGTACCCTTATTTGCTCAATATTCTGTTCATGATCACAGCTAGGTCTATTCATGGCTCGTGTTGTCGTTTTGTGGTCAATCTCTGCCATTTCGGGTCCATTTACTTACGCGGGGCCTGGCGCTGTGCCGGGCCTCCCCAACGACCTTTTTCTGGGCGCGCTCCTGCCCGGCGCCTGTGGCTGGGCTCAGCGTCTCCCTGGCATCTCTCCTATGCGCGCCCCTGCTCAGCGTCTGTGACCGAACTCAGCGCCTCTCTGCCATCTCCCCTGGATAGGCCCCTATGCGGCGTTTGCAGCTTGGTTGTGGGATACCTCCCCGGAGGCCTCTCCTGGGTGCGCCCCTGCGCGGCGTTAGCAGTCGGGCCGGCCCGCCTCGGACGTAGCTGAGCGAGCCCGCTCTGATGGGCCGAATGACGGGACAGGCCGCTGCCTTGTTGGCGCTGACGGCTGGGTACGGCAGACGTCGGTCATGCGGCGCTGGCGGCGGGCAGGCGGCCCAGGAGACAGAGGCGGATGTAGGGTGTGAAAACAGGGAGGCGTTCTGCTGCAGGGGCGGACTCAGGGCATTGCACACAGAGAGAGAACACGACTTAGGAGGGAGGACACGACAAGGTGCGAGATCTGTATCGTTAGAGGATGACAAATGCGGAGACAAAGTACAGTAGCGCGGAGAGGCACAGAGGTTGACTCAATGTACAAGAACAGAGAGACCCTCGGACGTGCTCGGAGATGGGCGAAACCATGGGAACGAAGGAACGGTCTGAGAAAGAGACTTTTTCAAAACAGGGACAGAAATGTTCTAAGACGGATGTGAGCTCACAACACAGTGTCAAGCAAGCAGACAGTGTCAGGTTGCATACTTTTGGTGGAAAATGATGATTTGTTTATAGAAATTGGATCGCCAGTTTTGGGGTCTTCTCGTCAGCTCGGTTCTCATTCCGACCACTTTGGTCTATCTTGGGGCTTGGATGAGGACATTCGTGCCTCCATGGCACCTTCAGCTGAGGTCATATTAGCACATCCGGCAGAGAGATAGCGGCCGGAGGGAGGCGGGTATGCAGATGGAAGCAGACAGGCGCTCGGGTGGCGCGCAGCCGGTGCCCGCAGAACGGGTCGGACTCAGGGTGGGGCAACTGGGAGGCGCCCTGAGACAGGAACGGGGACAGCGTGCGGTCGCGGCGTCGTGGGCCAGAGGCGTGTTCAGACCAGTGCAGATGGCGGGCTTTGGAGCCAGGGGCGCACCCAGGCCCGAGTGTCAGGAGGCCTCCGCAGATGTGTGAACGTTGCCGCTGCAGCGCGGCGCAGCAGCAAAGAACGGACCCGCTTGGCTCTCGGGGATCGAGGACTCAGCAAGAGGATGCGGCTGTTGAGGGCATGGACCGAGCATGCTGCCGAGCATGGCGTTCGAGCATCATACCAGGGAGACCTTATGTAGGGGCGTGCCCTTAACGCAACACGAGAGTCATTGAAACCTAGACACATTATACAAGCTTAGACACATTATCTGACACTACACACTCATCTGACACAAACACAAACACACACACACACACACACACACACACACACACACACACACACACACACACACACACAACACACACAACACACACACACACACACACACACACACACACACACACACACACACACACACACACACACACACACACACACACACACACACACACACACACACACACACACAACACACACACACACACACACACACACACACACACACACACACACACACACACACACACACACACACACACACACACACACACACACACACACACACACACACACACACACACACACACACACACACACACACACACACACACACACACACACACACACACACACACACACACACACACACACACACACACACACACACACACACACACCACACACACACACACACACACACACACACACACACACACACACACACACACACCACACACACACACACACACCACACACACACACACACACACACACACACACCACCACACACCACACACCCACACACCACACACACACACACACACACACCCACACACACAACACACCACACACACAGACAAGCTGATCGCGACGTAAATTGTGAAGGGAAATGGGACTACCATATCGGAGAGAATCTATAACATGATGATGACGGTTTGGCAGTTTGTGATGATGCCTTTGCATCGTCATGAACTACCATCCATGTTTATGGTTTAGTCACAACCTTACACCGTCGGGATCAGTAGCTGCCGTCCTTGCTGCAACGACACCAATGCTGCGATTTGAAATTTGACCCACCTCTTCATGCGAATTACGACGGTCGCTGGGCCCCACAACTGAGAGGCGCGACTTACAAACGCCCAGCGTACGTATAGCGCATGTGGCCATGTAACAGTAGTGACGGGCGCTGCCTCTGCGGCCTGGGCCGAGATGCTGACTCTTATCCAACGGCACTGGGCACATACCCCGAAGGAGCGGTCAGCTGGTAGCTAGCCAACGAGGGTCCGGTCAACCCATGTGCGGGGCGGCCAGGCCGCAGCATTCTGCCGCGTAAAGCCCTTACCGGTCCCGTCTGGCGGAAGGCCTCGCGCATACGTTTTTTGTTGAGCAGACGGCGCAATTTCGGTGAAATTTTGATGGCTTGATGGCTGCGTACCCTAATTCATGGATGGGTCTTAAGGTATACACAACAGCCTTGGCTTAGCAGGTACTCTGGACCAAAAACCAGCCATGAAAACCATTGGAGCAAATCAATATTTGAAGAAGCATGACACTGGGGGCAGTTGTGAAGCTGAGGGCTTCAACCGCAGCGACCACTTCCGACATCGGTGACCGGTCATGTCATATCAGGGTGGTGGCCTAGCCACTGTCTTATCTGGAGCCAATATGCCACATGCCGGAGACATTATTGTAAAAATGACACAGATCCGGTTATGTTTCGCCGGTGGCAGCACTGGCGCCAGCTTTATTCAGCACCGCCGCACGTGTCTCGGTGACGGAAATATGTGGGGATAGCTTGCCCGCTCCCCAGCACTGCACGCCGACTGCAGCTGCCACGGCGCCGCAGCACTCCGCCTCCATCCGACCCTCTCCTCCTCTTTCTTGCTTTATGCTGAATCCTCGTGATGGCCCGCTTGTCCAGGACAGGCCGCATGTGGCAGCAGCGAGTGGGCCGAGAGGTTCCTCTGTAGGTGGACCCCGAACGGGCGCCCAGGCGCATACCCCGCAGAAGGGTCTCTGCGCGAGCTAAGGCTCAGCGGTTGGCCCCCAGGCGCGTGAGTCTGCCCCACCGTTATCCATTCTCCTTCATCCCATAGCCCTGAAATGGTCATTATTGGTCGAAAGGGCCTAATCCAGCGAACGAAATAAGCAAGCCACTCCATCTCCAGTGTGAGGTAACCGAATAACCAAACCGCTACATCTCCAGTGTGGGGTAACTAAATAACCAAGTCACTCCATCTCCGGTGTGGGGTAACCAAATACCCAAGCCACTCCATCTTCAGTGTGAGGTAACCGAATAACCAAGCCCCTCCATCTCCAGTGTGAGGTAACTAAATAACCAAGTCACTCCATCTCCAGTGTGAGGTAAGCGAATAACCAAGCCACTCCATCTCCGGTGTGGGGTAACCAAATACCCAAGCCACTCCATCTCCAGTGTGAGGTAACCGAATAACCAAGCCACTCCATCCTCAGTGTGGGGTAACCAAATAACCAAGCCACTCCATCCTCAGTGTGGGGTAACCAAATAACCAAGCCGCTACATCTCCAGTGTGGGGTAACCAAATAACCAAGCCGCTACATCTCCAGTGTGGGGTAACCAAATAACCGAGCCGCTACATCTCCAGTGTGGGGTAACTAAATAACCAAGCCCCTCCATCTCCAGTGTGGGGTAACTAAATAACCAAGCCACTCCATCCGCAGTGTGGGGTAACCAAATAACCAAGCCACTCCATCCTCAGTGTGGGGTAACCAAATAACCAAGCCACTCCATCTCCAGTGTGGGGTAACTAAATAACCAAGCCACTCCATCCTCAGTGTGGGGTAACCAAATAACCAAGCCACTCCATCTCCAGTGTGGGGTAACTAAATAACCAAGCCACTCCATCTCCAGTGTGGGGTAGCCAAATAACCAAGCCACTCCATCTCCAGTGTGGGGTAACCAAATAACCAAGCCACTCCATCTCCAGTGTGGGGTAGCCAAATAACCAAGCCCCTCCATCTCCAGTGTGGGGGAGGCGTCTCACCTTGTTCCGGCTCTCGTACTCGATCTCCTTCTCACGCTTCTCCCTCTCGGTGCGAGTCGAAACTTCCATCGGCAACCTGCGATCAAACGTATACCAGTGACGTCATGACAAGACCATTAATGCACGCCTTGCCCCAGCGACGAAAACTGGCGCGTGCATGCGCACACGCCCCGGAAAATAAGTCATAGGACCTTGCGTCAGACGCTCAACAATGCGCATAATCTGAGGGCAGTTTACAAAAGTAATTGCCGCTACTGGTTATGTCGTTCTCATATGATCCGCTGTCAATCCATGTCACAAACAACTGAAAAATATGCGTATTGAGAAAAGCATTTCAGAATCAGGACCTTTTGATGTAATTTCCTGTCATACCTTCTTGTCAAGTAACACGCGCTCGGGTGCGGGGTCTATCTGACCCTCTCTTCCAAATGATTTTTAGGATGATTTCCGAATAGTGAGTGCATGAAGCAGTCGTGCTAGACTTTGCATAGTTGTAGAGAACGAAATGGCCCATATTTTTATGTAAAAATTCGATATACCATGTAAGGTCAAACTACTTTGGCAGATCAAATTCAGGCCACGGCTGTCAGCGAAGGACATTTCTAGGGAATCGTTCTATGTGATGCAACAATGGAGTGTTAGACGAAGCCATACATGTGTGAGATAGCTTCTTAGGCAACGGATCTATTAAATTTCGAATCACTACCTGTTCCACCGACCTAAGGTCAGGTAAGAAGGATAGACCTAGGCCAAAACTAACCTACCTTTCCGCTACATGGCTTTGTGTATAGGATAGTTTTCAGTGCTCATTTTGAATGCATTAATGGCAACGACTGGAATGGACATGCTCCATGGACTTCTTAAACGTCAGAATAGTTCACTTACTTAAGATGACCCAGTTCAACATTTTGTTTTTAGGGACATACCACCCAGCGTAATGTCTGATGCCTATTCGAATCAGGGGTAATCTCGAAGGTCCATGGTCACGTTGACCATGCAGTGGTCAAATAAGGTTACTTACCTCATCGATCTTTTGCTTAGAACAGGTATCAAGCTCCACGGCTGTTATATGAGGGAGCCTGAGGGCACTTGAGACACCAATCTGGAGACACCAGCCAAATCATCAAATAGACCTTGTTTGACATTAATTGATGTTTAGGTCATGACCTACGAATCTCACATTTTGACAAAAGTGATTAACATACAGGCTAATCCACCCTGTGAATTCGGTGTTTCTACGTATCTTAATTTTTCTAGATCTCAGGAGGGCCCCTCATCCCACCCGAGCAAAGGATATTCAAGCGGCCACCTGGTCATGTGTTAAGATAGTAATTGAGTTGAAATGGGAATGAAAAGAACTGTCTGGTGACTTTTCTTCTCTTAAAACTGGACTCCGTGAAAAATGTCTCAGCGCTGTATCAGTTGGTTACAACATTGCTACTAAAAGTTATTAGCGTTATCGCAAATTGCGATCGAAACATAGAAAAAGGAGTCCGTGATTTTGGTAAATGAGTGAAGAGGCTCATATTTGAAGTCACCATCCAACGACGGTGAGTCCTACACGGGCAAGATATTTGGAGGCTCAATGATCGACTCTCAGTCTTTTAGACATATTTTCTTGCGGTGATTTCTTTTTAATGCCACGCGAGGGGGTCTTTTGGACCCTTAGAAGGTGTCGGCGTCCACTGGGCAGTGCAAGTCGCTTTTGAGCTCAAACCAACCTCTTCCTGAACCCGTCTTTTTATTGATAAATCTATTTACAAATGCTGCAGACCATCATCCCTATTTTGACTTTAAAAATCGTTGTGAATGGGGCATCCAGTCAAGGAAAAGTGGAGAAGAACAGTCACTTTTCAGCACACAAGAACAGACAGACAAGCGACATTTTTGATGTTGCGTGCTTAGCAAATTTAGACACGGGCGTTATATCAAAATAGACCCAGGTAGCTATGTCGAGTTTCATGCGGTAAACTGAGGCGTCGTGTGCCAGCCGTGGATGCGCAGCTTGTGCGGGAATGTGCAGTTAAGAGGCAAATCTCAGCTCTGTTGGGTGGTTCTCAAACTGCTGCGCCCAGCTTGCCTGGGTGTCATCCTCTTCGCCAGGTGACTAGGAGCGGCACGCGCAGTCAGAAACGACATTCTCTCGAAAGATGAGCGGCTTCGAAGCGCGACAGTCGAACTCAGGCACGAGCAGAGAGCGATCACAAATATAAGGAGCGAGATGCTGTTTTTTTTTCAAAGCTGCGACCACTGACGACCTGGTAAGTAATGCGGAAAGGATTAAAACAACACACAGGTCGGTGATTTTCTACCGGCGAGAGTAGCAATGCTACATAATGGCTTGCATTTGGTTGCTTGTTAGAGCAGGGTTACCTTGTCTCTCTGCGCTGCGTGGGGACATGTGAACAACTGAGTTTCCGGACTCTTCCGTCTATCGCTCCTACATTATGCCATGGTGGCTCACTTGCACCACACATCGCCCAAAGGTGATCAGCTTTGACGTCACAGACCGTGTTGTGACTCACTTAAGTCAAACATTGGCTGGGCACTGTCAATGAGGACACACGGACTGCGCGCCCGCCTTAAACACGCCGTGGTTCACAGTGACATGCCTCCCAAAAGTCGTCCCTTGGATCGCCTCTGCACGATGCAGGGAGCCCACCTTCTGAAAGGCTATGCCAAGAACGATAGCTTTAAGGGTTTGGAACGTGGCTGCAAGGATATCATCGCGGTTAATGTAAACACCCGCACGAGATGGGCTAACAGCGCGCGCCAGAGCAAACGTCACGGATAATAAATGTGGCAGGATTGTCATTAAATGCTACTGGAGCGGATGGCTGTATGACGCGTGCAGCCTCACGTTATCTTGAATGCGAATTTTTCCAATTCCAGAGCCGTGTCATACCATAATTGTGTCTTCATCTGAGAATTTCAGAAATGACCGGCTTGGATTATTTTTCAGCGCACTCCAGACCGTGCGCCGACTCTATTCTGTGTGACTGTGTTATGCCGCTTGAAGTCGTTTAGCTGGCAAATTTGCTAATTAGGTGTGTATTCTTCAGCTGCTCCGACGTCACTCATGCTGCCGAGCAGTTCGTGATCTGATTTGTCTGACCATTTCAAACCAAGCAATTTCGTTTCAGATCATGGAATGGGAAGGGTACGCTATGGCAGAAGGGTACGCTGTAGTGACGTGATGACAGCCCATATGGCAGAAGGGTACGCCGTACATGATGACAGCCCATATGACAGGAGGGTATGCTGTAGTGGCATGATGACAGCCCACGTGGCAGGAGGGTATGCTATAGTGACATGACAGTCCACATGGCACGAGGGTACGCTGTAGTGGTACTTCGTTTTGTAAGCGGTTTACTCCATAACGCTATGACCGAGAACAAAGTGCTACAGTAACGACAAATAGCTGTCCCGGCTTTGTTTGCTGGACAAACCGCTTTATATATGGAAATTCCCTACACATGATTGTAAAATCGTGTATTGCAACCACTTGGAGGGTCTAATTCCCAGAAGCCGTCGCCCGCTGCCCCGCCCTCTTCCCCCCCCCCTCCCCCACACCTCCCCCCACCCCCGCCTCCCCTTACCGGACATATTCTCCGCCCATGAGAGGACGGGCACCAGTAACCACGTACTCAAGTTCCCGTAACCACGTACCCAGGTTTCTGTAGCTACGTACCTAAGTTTCCATAGCCACGCAACCAAGTTCCCGCCATCACATACCCTAGTACGCGCAACCACGTACCCAAGTAGCCGCAAATCTGACCAATCGAGCAACACTATCATGAGCCTGAGCCGACCACCGACAGCAACCGCCCACCAGCCTCAGACGCTCCCGCCCGATCCGCAGCGGAAGCTCGCCCACTAGCCTCGGACGCTCCCGCCCGATCCGCAGCGGAAGCTCGCTCACCAGTCTCGGACGCTCCCGCCCGATCCGCAGCGGAAGCTCGCCCACCAGCCTCGGACGCTCGCGCCCGATCCGCGGCGGAAGCCCGCCCACCAGCCTCGGACGCTCGCGCCCGATCCGCAGCGGAAGCTCGCCCGCCAGCCTCTGACGCTCCCGCCCGATCCGCAGCGGAAGCTCGCTCACCAGTCTCGGACGCTCCCGCCCGATCCGCAGCGGAAGCTCGCCCGCCAGCCTCTGACGCTCCCGCCCGATCCGCAGCGGAAGCTCGCCCACCAGCCTCTGACGCTCCCGCCCGATCCGCAGCGGAAGCTCGCCCACCAGCCTCTGACGCTCGCGCCCGATCCGCAGCGGAAGCTCGCCCACCAGCCTCGGACGCTCGCGCCCGATCCGCAGCGGAAGCTCGTCCCCGGTGTCCTCTGTCGCTCGCGCCCGATCCGCAGCGGAAGCTCGTCCCCGGTGTCCTCTGTCGGCCGTGCTGACGGCGTGGTCTGCGCCGGACGCCATGTTTTCGCCCGAGCGGCGAGGCAAGGCCGCTGTCTAATTCCCTAATTACTCACGGGAGCGAGGCTGAGCGGGAGGGGAGGGCGCCGTCTGATAGCTGACCTCGGCAGGTCGTTAATAAGGTCGTCTCCCCCCTACACAGCAACCAGCCGGCGCTAGGGATGGGCAACAAAAACTCGGGCAGACTGTGGTGCGGTAGGCGTTGAATAAGACAGCGTTTTACGTAAGTTGTCCAGTACATTGGCGAGGACCATTATTCACGTAGATAAGACAGTAGTAAAAGCTGTATTCCCAGGAGAAAAATCAGGAGAATGTAGATACAGTTGGGTTTACGCAGCTATATCTCTATTCTCCTGGTTTGTCTCCGAGGAATAAAACAGCGTTTTATTGGGTGACAGGTGAAGGGGATTGGTGATAATAAAGATACAGGCGTCCGCGTCTTATTTGGTCTGTCTCGTCATGGTACCTTACCACGCATTCATCTGCTGATGCTTTATGGCGTCGCCTGCCTCCCACCCTGACAGGGAGGGCGGGCACCGCGGGGAATCGGACGCCGTACCTCTGGTCTCTCAGACGCGCAGTGATTAACGGAAGCGCGTTAATCAGCGCACTACCGGGAAGTTGAACACATATAACAGTGCTGAGTGAATAGATAC